TTACCTGATGAAAAGGAACTTGGGAAACATGACTTCAGTTGGACAAATGGAAAGGTTAAAAGTGGACTTTGTGATGAGTTTAGTCTTGAAAACAATGATAGATGGACTTCTCAAAACTATGGAGAATTAAAGGCAGTGGTTGAAGCTCTCAGTTTTACTAAGTGTTCTTCTACTATTTCAAAAGCATTGGAAACCTTGAGTTCTTGCAAGAAATTAGGCAAAGATCCAACGAAAGACCTTACTTTATCTGTTTCACAAAAGCGCACCAATGTGTACTTTAGTCAGACCTCGGCTGATCTAGAGTAAGTCTTTAATTTTTTTTACATTTCAGTGGAAAAAGGATATAGGGGAAATTGTTAAATTCTTATTAATTTTGAAAAGCTGGGCTTTATTTATTACAATAAGCCCTTGATATTAATGACATACTTTAGCTTCTAATCTAATGAGGCAGTGAAGGAGATCATTCTGAATGCTGGGAAGAAAAATAAGGAGAGATTAGGGTGGGCTAGATTAGGGAGATTCTGGAGTGATAGAGAAAGGGATTTGGATTTGTGACAGGTAACTAGTAGCCATCTGAGATGTTTCTGTGTGGGAGTGGTTGAATATGTTGAAAAGTTGAAAATGATAGAGGAAATTAATCTGGAATCCAGTTAATCCAGTCTAGATCAGAAATAGACAAGCAGATGAGAAGCTGGTTGTGTTTGGGACTGTTGCATTTTTCTTGGGTATTAAAAATAAAAAGTAATGCATTACTTTTAATTTACAGCTGTGCTCGGAAGAGGATAACAGTCATTAAAAGTGTATTTTCTAGCCGATCTCTTCTCAACCTGGGTAATAGACAAGCTAGTATAATTGAATACTTGCCAACTCTTCGAAACATTTGTAGGACTGAGAAGCTAAAAGAACAAGGAAAAAATAAAAGAAGGTAGGATCTACGGAAATAACATTTTATATAGCTATTTCAAAATTCATATTCTCACCTGATGGAAAAATATTAATATTAAATTATTTTTCTTTGTAATTTTGACAGGTTCCTCCACTATCTTGAAGGAATTCACCTTAACATTTCAAAAGAGACTATGAACACTTTGGCAGCTGGCTTTCCTTAATATTCCACACTAACAGTGCCTTGTACAGATTATTGTGTGGTCCCCAAGATATACATTTTTATATTGATTTTTGTGGAAGTTTACATCTCTTAATGTACATTTAAAACAGAATATTTGTATATTTTTTACTAGTGCGCAAATATTTAAAATGAAAAAAATTGAGTTGAAATTTGTATTTATGATGTGGTGGTATTTTAAAAAAATTTTTGTATTATCTGATTTAGCTTTGTTGGAGTATTTATGTATGTAAGTGAGCTGTTTCTAGGAGGTAGAGTTCACTAAGATATTTCTAAAGAGGGCTCAGTGCTACACTACTCCATAATTTCTCCCTTTCCTGGTTCCTTTAATTCACCTCTCTTCAACCAAGTGAATACTCTGTCAAATTGTAAATATGAATCTCAAATAAATTTATACAATCTAGAATACAAAATTACATATATAATGCATAAGAAAACTTCCTAAGAAAGAAATTGTTTCATTTTTCAAAAAGTAAGATCTCCCCTCCACAGTCCCACCTCCCACCCCCCCAAAATAAAATAAAATAAAATAAAATAAAATAAAATAAAATAAAATAAAAGTAAGGTCTTCCTGCTCAGGGTCAGCCAGCATACCAAAGGGCCATCGATTTGATTACCCATCAAAGGGACATACCTGGGTTGTAGGTTCAATCCCTGGGCCCGGTTGCTGCGCATGTGGTAACCCATTGATGTGTCTCTCTCACCAACGTTTCTCTTTCTGTGTGTCTCTGTCTCCCTCTCCTCCCATTCTTTAAAAATCAATGGAAAAAAATATCCTGGGGGAGGATTAACAATAACAAAAAGCAAGAGCTTCCTGATTTTGTTTCTGGTGCACTCCTCCAGCATATTTCACCATTGAATACTGAATGTTAACAAAGTGGAATCAAGATTATGAATTATAGTTTTCATGAATGTTTTTTAGCAACCGTACATGTGATATCTTGTATATTTTGCCAATTCAAATCACTTACCTTGTATATTTTTATTGTATTTTTGTATCCTCGTTTTATTTTATAGATATTAATTATGTTAATATACCTAATTCAGACAAGGTTTAATGTTATTTAACAGCCCTGGCCAGTGTGGCTTAGTTGGTTGGAATGTCAATCCCACACACCAAAAGGTCATGGGTTCTGTCCTTAGTCTGGGCACATGTGGAGACAAACGATCAGTATTTCATTCTCATATCAATGTTATTTTTTATCTCCCTTTCCCTTTCTCTCTGAAAATCAATAAAAACATACTTAAATAAAATATAGTAAAATCAGTAAAACCATGTCCTTGGGTAAGAAAAAACAACGAAGGATTCTACTATAGGATTTCTATATAACAGCCATATCCACTGAAGGTTATGTTTTTGGAGGAAATATGTATTTTTAATTATAAGATTTAGTTCACTTTAAATAATTCTTGCAATTATATAATAAGGTATGCCTGAAAATAGTTCCCTATTTCAAGTGTTTGTATTAGCTTAATATTCAGTTACATGATCTGATGAATTACAATTTCACCTCAAAAGATAAGGATCCTATTTTGCAGGTGAAAAATATCTTATGTATACCTGCTTTAAATATGTATTAAAATGTTTTTATTTAACCTACTTTTTCTTGTATTAAAAATATATTGATTTAAAGGCTAAAGCTAAAAAGGCTTTATACAGTATTTATATAGGAGTTCCAGGTATAATCACCTGAGTAAATATTGGATATTGTATGTTTGGATATAGGCTATAACTTACACAGGTTCAGTCCTATGTAAGAGATTAAGACCTCTGAGGCATTTTAAAAAAATATATGGATTTTTTTCTACTTAATATGAGTTCACTACCTATAGAGCTCTTACTTACCGTTAATTTTTGGTGTTTTATTAGAAAATTTTGATAATTCTCTATAACTGAGGAACCAAAGTAAAATAAGTCATTAGAATTTTTTAAAATTTATTTTATTTTATTGGATTTTAGAAAGAGAGGGAGAGGAATAGAGCATTGATGAGAGCAATCTCATCAATGGGTTGCCTCCTGCACACCCCCTGCTGGGGATTGAGCTGGCAACCTGGGCATGTGCCCTGATAGGAATTAAACTGATGATCTCTGATAGATGGGTTGATATTCAACCACAGGGTCACACTGGCCAGGCTAGAATTTTTAATGTCTTTTTTTGTTTATTTAACAAGATTTGGGGAAATATTTTTCAATTCTTAAAGATGATAAATTCCTGTTAGATTTAAATAATTTTTGTGATAAAAATAAGCAAATTTTGAGTACGTTTCCATACTTCACATCCTAGCTTATAAATGTCTAAAACAGTCACATTTTCACTTACAGCTATTTTTAGAAATATGTGGAAAGTGGAATACCACATGTCTGGCATAAACTGCTGAATAGAAAGTGAGGCTATTTAACAAAGTATAAAATGGTAGCAAAGGAGATGATCTGGAGCAGTGGTCAGCAAACTCATTAGTCAACGGAGCCAAATATCAACAGTACAGTGATTGAAATTTGAGAGCCAAATTTTTTAAACTTCTAACACCACTTCTTTAAAATAGACTCGCCCTTGATATTTTGTGGAAGAGCCACACTCAAAGGGCCAAAGAGCCGCATGTGGCTCGCGAGCCGGTTTGCAGATCATGGATTTGGAGGAAGAATGGTTTCAGACATGAGTAGTTTGAGATATCTGCAATATTTCCAAGGTGCAGATATTTATGTATATAACCATATACTATTTGTTCAGGTTTACATAGGCATAGCAACAAATCTAGTGTATACCAAACTGAGTTATGAGGTGCTGAAAGAGAGGACTTCCATTTATTTTACACTAGAATCCCAGTGCACAAATTCGTGCATCAGTGAGTTCCTAACCTGGCCTATACCAGTGTACAAATCTGTGCACCAGTCCTTTAGTATGCATATCCTTGGTTCACCTCTTCCCGCTCTCCTCCTTTCCTCTGAGATTCATTAGTCTATCCCACATTTTCATCCCTGTGCATTGAGTGTCTGCCCCCTGGTGGTCAGTGTGTGTCATAGCTACCAGTCGATCGGTTGCTTAGGCAAATATATATATATAGAGACTAGAGGCCTGATGCATGGAATTTGTAAAAGGGGCTTGGCCCTCGAAGCCCAGGCTTTGTCTGGAAGGTCATCTGGAAGGACATCCAGAAGGTTGTTCAGCTGTCTGGTCTAATTAGCATATTATGCTTTTATTATTATAGTTTTTATGATTTGAGTTTTAGATTAAAAAAAAAAGACAATGCTTTGACATCAGACACTTGGGTACAGTACAAGTGAGATATAATGACGGCCTGAACTAAGGCAGATAAAATGGAAAATGGAGAGATGTGGAATAGGGCTACATGTATGAAAAGATACTCTGTCAACTAAAAGATTTCAAAGTAAGATAGTGAACGTATTAGACAAAGCTTATTTATTCTGGGCTTGAGAGATGGAGCTGATGAAAATCACCTTTTGGAGGCAGTGCATCAAACCATGTTCCATTTATAAAATAAGAAGATTCCACAAGTTGTGTTATCAATTATATTTAGCTTTATTCCCACGAAGAGTACCATCCAAAAAAATTCATTCTTTTTCAGCCAATTCTATAATATAGATGATATTTGCTTTTAAAGGAAGATAACTTTCTCATTTAAACTGTTTCGAGGTATTTTACTATTTAACACTTAAACCTAAAAGATATAAAATCTCACAAAGATATTTATGGACTTGGCCTTGGCTTATTGTATAAACCATTCAATAGCCAAAAATCTGACTTTAAACATTAAATACACTCAAACCATGTTTTCTTTTCCATTAACATGGATGTCAAAAATCATTTTTTTATTTTTTATAACTTTAAAGCTAATAAATAGAGCAGATCATATATTAGTGATCAGAATTTGAAGGTTCGGGGTCAAACACTGCCAATTCATAGAAGGCAACAGCTTGTAATAATGAATCATATAACTCTTCTATTCTGTATTGGTCAGTAGCTGAAAACATGTGTCTGTAGTGGATTATCTTATCCGATGGGAAGAATACCCGAGGCTCTTCCTTCAGGACAGCGTCTGAGAGGAACTGCTTCACTAGCTCTTTCCCACTAGTGCGGCTGTCGCCGAGCATCAGCTGGAAGTGCTTCCCCACTGCATTTCGATTCATGCTCAGTACCTGATGCTGGCCACTCTGGGCAAAGGTTGTGTTTAATAAGGCATACAGCATGGCTTCCACGATATGCAAATGTAGTAGAATAGGAAACAGAGTTGAGTTCTGAAGGGAAAGTCCTGTTTTTTCCAGAACATAGAAGTCAGCTTTGGGCATCTTTGAAACGACTGGAGAAATCTTTAAAGAACAAAATAAAATAAGTGAGCAAAGTAAATCATTATGTTTTATTGTTTGGGTCCCCTCTGTCCCACTTCCATTTAAAAAATAAAATTACATAACTTACACTATTTTGCTATTGACAATTTTGAAGTAACTGAAAAAGCATTTTATGGGAGAATCAGAACAGCCAAATTCTGGTTATGGTTCTATCAGGCACCAGATAAGCTAATACAAACCATTTAGTCCTAAGTACTATTTTCCTCATCTGTAAAATGGGCTCATAATTTCTAAAATCTATCTTGACTCTAAGATTAGACAAGTTAAAACTGTTTTATTAATCTTATAAAAACTTCTACAGTACAGCATAGGGTTAGAATAATTAGCCTAGAATCAATCACCCTGACAACTGGCTGGCTGCATCAGGTGCTTGATCGAAACAGTTCAATGGTGTAATCAGGATCATAATTACTGCCCACCTCACAAACTTTCAGACTCACATGACATAATGTTAGTATTTTAAAAATAAGCTTTCCAAATATAGTGATGAAATTCTATAACATTTAGAATCAACTTTAGCATTGTTTTCTCTTCCTAGGATTTGCCTTTGACATACACATTTCTTGAAAAAAATGAAGAAATATTAAATTTTTAAAAAGTCATTGATGATGGGAAACATAACTGGAATGGGTGAGTAATAAGTACCAAAAAAGAATCTCTCCTTACTATTTTATTAGATTCTTTTCAGGACCAGTGGATTAAACTATACAAGGTAGGAATTGGAACGTGTTACTGCCTTACCTCTTCTAAATAGACAGACGATGTGTATGTTCCTCTCACCAACTGGCAACATTCTTTATGCTGCCAGTCCAGCACTGTCAGTTTACGGTCCAGGTGAGCCCAGGCAATTCTCCGAGTACCAAAAACGATGGATACGATACTATTTACTGCCTAAAACAGAAAGGCTGGTTTCATGACACGTGTAAACATTTTAACAGATACAAAATTTAAGCTACAAACTCAGAAAACCAAATTTGCTTATGTAATACAAATATATTTATGGTTTACAAACAATTGTTTTTTTGTTTTGTTTTAAAAAATATATATTTTATTGATTTTTTACAGAGAGGAAGAGAGAGGGATAGGGAGTTAGAAACATCGATCAGCTGCCTCTTGCACACCCCACACTGGGGATGTGCCCGCAACCAAGGTACATGCCCTTGACCAGAATCGAACCTGGGACCTTTCAGTCTGCAGGCCAACGCTCTACCACTGAGCCAAACCGGTTTTGGCTATAAACAGAATTGTTAAAGACATGCAGGAGTAATTAAAAGGTAACTAGTATTAGAGAGCAGTCAGTTCTCAGCACATTCAAAGTAGGCATTAATATGTTGCTGGGGACTGCCAAAAGCTGGGAAACTAGGAACACAGCCATACATGGTAAGAAATGCCATAACTATTTACACTCTATAGAGAAAAGAAGTGGTCAGGAAAGATTTGCTGGAGGACTAGGAGAACGAGTGAAACAGTCATCGGAAAGTTATTTCACTGAGATGTCTGCTCAGAGAGTTTGACACCTCAGACTCAGCCAGTAGATTAAAGAGTACAAGTGGGAAAAGAGCAGAGGAGTCCACAGATTTCTGCAAAAAGTAGCTTGCTTTTTCCGAGAGCCACAGAGAGCCAGTAAAGTGTATACCATTCAGGAGTAACAGATTTACATTTCAGAAAGATCACGGATAGCTGTATGGAAGATGGGACTAGAAGAGATAGACTAGAGGTAGGGATTTGTGTTAGGTACCTGTCATATGACAAAGAATTAAGAATCTAAGTGACAATGAGGACAAGAAAGAGATCAGAGATAATGGGAGTAAAATTGTTATGTGAGATGATCAAGGGGCCTAGGACAACTCCAATTGTATTTCAGTAACTATATGGCATCATTAATCAAGATGGTCTTAGGAGGTGGGTCAACTTGGGAAGGTTGGGGGAGATGAGTTGTTTTTTAATGTATTGAGTTCAGGGTGCCTTCTAAGGGGACATGTGTAACAGATAACGGGATAATATGGATTTAGCTCTGTGCCAAGTCTGGGTTTCACCTCAATCTCAAATGGCTCATTTAGTAATACAGATAATGTACATTAGCATGATCTATAGATACAGAGATAAGCAGGAACATTTCATAATTCTATATTCACCTCCCTTTTACTGCTAAAGAATGGGTAAGTATCCATTAAAGGCAGAATATTTTGGTGAGGATTACAAAATAAAGGCAAAATAGTTTGAAAGCCCAAACAGCTACAAAATACAGGCCTTCTACACTGGCTCATATGACTGGTTCGATTCCCTGTTTGGGCACATGCATGGGTTTTGAGCTTGATCCTCAGTAGGGGGCGTGCATGGGGAAACCAACTGATGTTTCTCTCTTCCTCTCCCTCTCTAAAATCAATATAAAACTTTTATTTATTTATTTTTTAAAGGGGGGGTGGTGGAATAACTTTAAATGCTGCTGGAGATATGTTCTAAAGTCACTCTTTGGTATAGCTCATCTTTGCATCTTAATTTCTTTTTTTAATATATTTTATTGATTTTTTACAGAGAGGAAGAGAGAGGAATAGAGAGTTAGAAACACCGATGAGAGAGAATCATCGATCAGCTGCCTCCTGCGCAACCCCTATTGGGGATGTGCCCGCAACCAAAGTACATGTCCTTGACCGGAATTAAACCTGGGACCTTTCATCCGCCGGCTGATGCTCTATCCACTGAGCCAAACCGGTTTTGGCATGCATCTTAATTTCTGATTACTCCTAACATAACTGTCAGACACAGCCAGATATCTCAACATTCCTTTCAAATAAACTTTGCACAGACCTACTTCTACATCGATGTTTTGCATCCTAGAATGCCCTCCTCTTCCCACTAGCCTCTCTCCCTCAAAGATACAAGTTGAATTCTTCCAGTAAACTTTTCCCAACAGTTAGAGTCCACAGTTCTCTCCTCTGAATGGCTCACCTTGGTATTGATCACATACTACTTTGTACCGTGGGTTATCTATTAATATATGTATTGCTGGGCCCACCAACTGAATTACAAGCTGCCCGAGAGCCCTGTCTTCGTGCCCAGAATAGTTCTTTACAAAATAGGTTCTCAAATATTTAGGCAGTATAATCGACGTTAATAAAAAAGGGTATACCTTAAGTCTCTCTCTTTCTATTTCTGGTTTGATGAGCTTTTTCAAGAGCCGGTTTTCCTGTGACTTTCTTTTTCTCACTCTAGTCTCTGGACAAAGAATGGAGTTACAAATCTGAACGGTAGTTTTATACTGGAACAAGGGCACATCCATTAAACTCTCCAAGTTCTGAAATGGCCCAAACTTTTTTCTGTGCTCTACAAGATTGATGGACTTTCTTCCACGAAGTGATTTGAAAGCTTCAAGTTCGTTATTAGATGCTGTATTCAACACATGCAATATGGAAGCCTGCTGTTCCGAAGAGAAGAGCTTGTCCAGTGCCTTCCCAGCCTCCTTGGTCGTTTTGTCACAAAAAGCAACGCTGGGAGTACTTTTCTTGGGTGCAGTGGATTTTTTCCGACAGCAGGAATTATGTAGGGCCTGGAACGAGGACCATCCTATTGGTACTGGGAAAAATCTCCACCTCCCTAAAAGGAAAATTTAGCAAAATGTAAGTTGGGATGTCCTACTGCCTTAGTGTTAGCTGCAGCTTCACCAGAACCTTTGCAAAGTGGCACAGACTTTCCCATAATTTAAGTACTAGAGGACCAGCTTACGTTCTCCTGTAGAATCATTATTAAAAGGAGTTGTTTAAAAACCGTATCTAGTTATAGTTAACTAACAGGACTTTTGGTTGTTTTTTACTCACAAGAGACAGCTTCTGACTTTTATAGCTATGTCTTAAGTTTTACTACCTAGGAATCTTATCTTATGCCCATCAAGAAGCATGGGTTTAAAACAATAATCTCGACTGCTTAGCATTTTTGACATTTGTAACTTGAGAGGAGTCTCTTTGTAATTAACGTCTCGTTATGGAAATGTATTTTCCCTCCATTTTCACCAGTGTTTTTCTTACCCGGTGGGACCAAATAAAATGTTTTAGCGGAGTGGTAGATTTAAGAGCGGTTTTTACTTTCTTCTGCACACTTTTCAACATTTCTACCAGGCTTACGGTACTGCAAGCAGAAGAAAACCCACGTAAGGAACACTTTTGTAAAACCAATGGGAAGTCACGCTGATCTCGCGGCCACAGGAGAGCAATGCAGCCAGGGGCGAGCGGGTGGCAGTTACGGCTCTGCGCCCCGCCTCTCCCCCGCCCCCCTCCTCATCGTGCCCCCGGGCCCCCGACGGCCGCCCAGTTGGGGCAGGAGCCGCTCGCGGCCCCTTAACCCAGAGGAGCTCGATGGCGCCGTCAGCGCGGCGGGAACTCCGCGAGACCTGGATCTGGGCCCGGGGCGGACGGGAAGTTAGCCCGGCACTGCAGGGACCCTACCTCCCGCCGTCAGGACACTAGGGACGTTCATTTTCCGAATCAAATGAGCAAGTCCCCTCACTTCAATCTTCCTCCACTGACTTCCGGTTCCGGCGCGTTCCCCCCAAAAGAATCCGGCCTTTCCACGAGAAGATTCCGGACGAGTTCCGGGCCCCCCCAGGTGTGGGCCCTGAGCAAGGGGCGGGGCCGCGGGGCGGGGCCGCGGGGCGGGGCCGCGGGGCGGGGCAGCAGGCGGTCGCCCGCGGGAGCTCTGCCCGGGATCCGAGCCCCGCGTGTTCCGCGGACTTACCTCACCGCCTCCGGGAACGGGAGGAGAAGGGAACAGGGGAGGCGCCCAAGGTGCTTGCAGGCAGGGTGGAGCGCCACTGGGTAACCGGAAGCCACCGAGGTTTGAGTGGAGTCTGGCGGGAGGTGTGTTTCTAGAAAATGCCGCGTCTAAGTGAGGCTGGACTGGAGGCGAAGAGGTGGGAGCCAGGGAAGGAGCTGGGAGGCTGGTGTAATTTCCCAAAGGACAGGCGACCCTGAGGATCTGAATTTGGGAGACATAAAGGGGAATGGAGAGGATCCTTTCTAGGAAATGAGGAGACTTTAGCTAGTTTTGTGAAAAACAGGGACGTCAGGAGGAAGGTGGTTTTTGGAGGCAAAGTTAGTGCATTTGTGTGTGTGTGTGTTTTTAAAAATATGTTTTTATTGAGTTTTTACAGAGAGGGAGAGAGAGGGATAGAGTTAGAAACCTCTTGCACGCCCTCCCCTGGGGATGTGCCCGCAACCAGGGTACATGCCCTTGGCTGGAATCAAACCTGAGTCCCTTCAGTCCGCAGGCTGACGCTCTATCCACTGAGCCAAACCGGTTTCGGCTGCATTTGTGTTTTTATTAGACGCCAATGCTGGGTAGATATTGTCCAGGAGGCGGTGAGATGTGAGGGATTGTAAGAGTTCATAAGGACTATTCATGGGAATTCTACCAATCTAGCCAGTTTCTGGGGAACGTAGGAATCTAACCAGAAATGAAGTAGCTGTCTTCTGGGGACCATGACTTCAGGTATTCACCATGGTCCAGCGTGTGACATACCGCCGGAGGCTGTCCTACAATTCAGCCTCTAACAATACTAGACTGTCCCGAACCCCTGGTAATAGGATTGTTCACCTTTACACCAAGAAGGTTGGGAAAGCACCCAAATCTGCGTGTGGTGTGTGCCCAGGCTGACTTCAAGGAATTGGTGATGTGAGGCCTAAAGTTCTAATGAGGTTGTCTAAAACGGAAAAACACGTCAGCAGGGCCTATGGTGGATCCATATGTGCTAAATGTGTCCGTGACAGGATCAAGCGTGCTTTCCTTATTGAGGAGCAGGAAATCGTCGTGAAAGTGTTGAAGGCACAAGCACAGGGTCAGAAAGCGAAAGTTAAAAATGAAGCTTTTTTGAGTAATAAAAACAAAGTTTCATTCTGTTAAAAAAAAAAAAAAGAAAAAAGAAAAAAGAAATGAAGTAAACTTTTTGTGCTAAATCCTCCAAATCAATAAGAAACAGTTTTCTTTAAACTCCATTCAGGGCTTCTACCACTGAATGAGATATTAGGAGTTGAATGGTATCTCTCAAAAAAGAGATGGGGTAGTCTTACTCCTCAGTACCTCAGAACATGACCTCATTTCCAAATAGGGTCATCGCGGATTTAATGAGTTAAAATTAAAAATGAGGTCACACTGGGGTGTGGGTGGGGGCTGGCTAATTCACTGTGACTGGTGTCCTTATAAGAAGGTGATCAGCCCTAGCCGGTTTGGCTCAGTGGATATAATGTTGACCTGTGGACCGAAGGGTCCTGGGTTCGATTTCAGACCTCGGTTGCAGCTCTTCCTGGGCCCAGGCTCTGGTTGGGGCTGGTGCAGGAGGCAACCCATCGGTGTGTTTCTCTCACATCGATATTTCTCTCTGTCTTTCCCTCTCTCTTCCTCTCTCTAAAAATCAATGGGAAAATATCCTCGGGTGAGGATTAAAAAAAGAAAAGATGAGTGCCATGTGAAGATGGAGCCACAAACTGAAGTGATGCACACACAAACCAAGGAAGGCCAAGGATAGCCAGCGAGGCCATCACGAGGTAGGAGAGAGGCGTGGGACAGATTCACTCTCAGAAGGAACCAACCCTGCCAACACCTTTACTTCAGACCTCCAGCCTCCAGAGCTGGGAGAGAATAGATTCCTGATTTTAAGCCACCAGGTTCGTGGCGATTTGTTACAGCAGCCACGGGAAACAAATAAGGAGCCCGGTGATTGGTGCTTTCCGAGGTGATGTGGTCCACTCTCAAGGTGCAACAAGTCCCTTGCTACCCGCACAACCTGAGGTCCTCATTCTCTCCGAGCCTCTGCTTCCTCGTTTGTGAAATGGACATAATGGTATCTGCCTCTCATTTCTACTAAGAGGACTTCTAGTTAGAAACTGGATGTAGAGAACACGACTTATAATAAGGGTTCAATAAATGTTAGTTCCTCATTAAAGCATTATCTCTCCTGGGGTGCCAATTATTTTTATTTTAAATGTTTTTATTGATTTCAGAGAGGAAGGGATAGAAATATCAATGATGAGAGAATCATTGATCGATGGCTTCCTGCATGCCCCCTACTGGGGATCAAGCCTGCAACCCGAGGACATACCCTTGACTGGAATTGAACTCAGGACCCTTCAGTCCGAGGGCCAACACTCTGTCCACTGAGCTAAACCAGCTGGGGCCGGGGAGCCCGTTATTAATGAGCTTGAGGGGAAACCCTCACTCCTTGGAGCATTCATTCAGAATTACTTTGACCAGAAGTGGAAGTGGTAGGGAAAGAGGCGCCCACTGTGCCTGGTTTACTGAAAACCAGAATCTGTGTTCAAAATGAAAGTTGGCATCTTCCCTCCCCAGGAGCCAGCTCCTTCTCACTTCCCTGGCTTTGCTGCTCATATGCACATGCCCCTGCTCCTCCCACTCCCTTTGTCATCATGTCTAGCTTGTTACCTATTTTCTGTGTTTTTTAAAGGTTTTTTTTTTTTTTTTTTTTTTTTTTTTTTTTTACCACAATGTACTTGGCAACCAACTGCTTCATTAAACTTGGGTTTTTACATATGATGCATTTTGATGTTTTCTATTTCGTGATTTTTTTTTTTTTAAACTACACATCCATTTTTGCAAGACATCAGGTGGGAGATGTCTAGCAGATAGAGGTGAAAGGCTGAAACTGAAGGAGAAGACAGTGCTGGGTACAGATTTGGAGGCCATCAGCACGTAGAGAGGGCACTTCATTCCACAAAAACGTATGTGCCTGACCCGTGTGGCTCAGATGGTTGAGTGTTGACTTATGAACCAGGAAGTCATGGTTTGATTCCCGGTCAGGGCTCATGCCCAGGTTGCAGGCTCGATCCCCAGTAAAGGCCGCGTAAGAGGCAGCCAATCAATGACTCTCATTAGTGATGTTTCTATCTCTCCCTCTCCCTTCCTCTCTGAAATCAATGAAAATGTATTTGAAAAAAGAAATGTGTGTGCCAAAACGGGTTTTGCTCAGTGGATAGAGCGTCAGCCTGTGGACTGAAGGGTCCTGGGTTGGATTCCAGTCAAGGGCATGTACCCTGATTGCGGGCACATCCCCAGCAGGGGGTGTGCAAGAGGCAGCTATTCGATGATTCTCTCTCATCAATGTTTCTAACTCTCTATCCCTCTCTTCCTCTCTATAAAAAATCAATAAAATTTATTTTTTTAAAAAGAGAAAGAAATGTGTAGGATGAGCCAGGGAGAGGGATAGTGTGAGAAAAGCACAGTGAGTGAGGGAGAGAATTCAGAGCATCAGTATTGGGGGTGAGTAGGGGATTGGAATTCCACACCATCTCACCTCTGTCGCTTGGCATCTGCTGGTCCTTTACCCTCAAATGCTCTCTCTCCTCAAAATGGTCTGAGTTCTGCTCACGTTTTAAGTGCTACCCTCCTGTCTGGAGAAGCCTCCCCATCTTCAAAGCCAGAAGCATCCTTTCCCTTCACTTACATCTTCCTCATAATACATACTGTCTTGAACTATAGGGCTTTTTGTCTTTTGCTTTTGACTACATGTCTTTGTCTCTGTATTGAACTATACATTTCCCTCAAAGTGATTTGGAAGCTACCAACTAGAATATATAAAAGCATCCATTCTTGGTGTCTCCACATCCCTGCTGGAGGCAGAGGAGCCCAGTGATGGCGCTCAAACTCTGGAATGGGTCCCTCGGTGTTCCAACCCTGGGCTCCAGCTTCAGAGAACAAACTGTGTGAACTGGGTAAGTGATGTCACCTCTCCGAGCCTCTCCAGGGGTGTCCAGGGACAAAGTGGGCAGTTAACATTTATGCCATCTTGAGCTAAGGAGAAAAGGGGGTTTGTGGTTTGAGATTTCAAAGGGGAGGAAGGCAGTTCACATGGAGATAGAAACTAAATGCTTGGTAAACAAATGTCTTTAATTTAAACAGCAGGATACAGAAAGGACTTTGATCTAATGGGACTGGCCAGGTCCCTGTCTGTCACACCTAGGTCTCATTGAACCATAGTTCTCTGTGCTGGGAGCTTCCTTCTTGTAGCAGGCCCTCTACATTCTGTTAGGCAGTTGAGTCTTCTGTGTCTTAAAAATAATTTAATTTTTAAATTAAGAAGATAATTATTAAAAGTATCTTAAAATAATATCCCCAAAAGGCATATTTTGGGGGGGCAAACTCCACTCCCCTTCAGATGCAGAGAGGGCTTCATTGACCTTCCTATTAAAATAGCACCTTTGCTGAAACAGGTTTAGCTCAGTGGATAGAGCATCGGCCTGCAGACTGAGGGGTCCCAGGTTCAATTCCGTTCAAGGGCATGTACCTTGGTTGCAGGCACATCCCCAGTTGTAGGTGTGCAGGAGGCAGCTGATTGATGTTTCTAACTCTATCTCTTTCTCTTCCTCTCTCTAACAAAATCAGTAAAATATATTAATAAAATAGCACCTTCCATCCCTCTTTCCCCTTATTCTGTTTTCCTTTGTAGCATTTACCCCTCTGAAACCATG